GAACCCAGCCTGGGCCTACTAAGCAACAATGACAACTGCAACCAAAAAAATACTGGGAGGCTGAGGCAAGTTTAAGGTTGCTGTGAGCTGTGACACCACAACACTCTATCCGAGGTGACACAGTGAGACTCTGTCTAAAAAAAGAAAAAAAAAGAATAAAGAAATTAAAACAACCTTACATTCAACAACCCCAGCAAGTAATCTATTAAGAAATCAACTCATTGCTGGATTGTTTGAGCTCAGCCGCTGGGAGACTAGCCTGAGCAAGAACAAGACCCCATTTTTACTAAAAACCAAAATAATTAGCCGGGGTTGTGGCCGGCGCCTGTACGCCCGGCTACTGGGGAGGCTGAGCAAGAGGATCATGTGAGCCAAAGAGTTTGAGCTTGCTGTGAGCTATGACAGCAAGGCACTCTACCAGGGGCAAGAAAGTGAGACTCTGTCTCAAAATAATAAGTAAATAAATAAGCCATGTGGTAATGTGATAAAATTATCATAATCATGGTGATAAACATATATTATACATATATTGTACCTTTATTTGTACGTAAATATTTGGAAGCAAGAGAAGGAAACAAAGTGAAAACACTTCTGTGTAATTATGAGTTCATTTTGCTTTTTTATGCTTGCTCCAGGAGAAAATTTAAAGTTGTGAAAGTATTTAAAGTATTCTCTTTTTTCTTAATAGTACTTATAAAGATCACAGCTACTCTTCACATAACTGACTTCACGCCCCATTTTTTTGCCGGGACTTGGCTTCAAATTTTGAACCTGGGAGCAACTTGAAAAGGCGAAGCCTGCAGGGGGCGGTGGCTCAGGCCAGTAATCCTAACACTCTGGAGGGCCGAGGCGGGTGGCCTGCCGAAGCTCAGGAGTTCCAAACCAGCCTGAGCAAGAGTGAGACACGGTCTCATAAAATAGGCCGGACTTGTGCCGAGCGTCTGTAGTCCCATCTACTCTGGAGGCTGAGAAAGGCAAGAGGATCGCTTCAGCCCAGCCAAGAATTTGGGGTTGCTGTGAGCTACCATGCCACAGCACTCTACCGAGGGCGAGAGTGAGACTCTATCTCAAAACAAAACAAAACAAAACAAAAGGCGAAGCCTAAAATTTAGGGTTTACAAGTACTGCTCCACCCTGGAAAGGACCAGGAGTCCCATACACAAAGGTAAGGCGGGAGAGGCAGTTTCTCTGCCATTTGGGGATGGGAGTGGTTAGAAACACTTTTCTTCAAAACTCATACCCTAGCCTCAAAAGGCAAAAGCCAGGTCAACAGCCGGGATCAGTCCTCATGGTTCCCAGCAGCGGCTGTCCAGTGCTGACAAAAGCAACAATCTCTGAAGGAACCGACCCAAACACACTACTCCGCCCAGAGTCTCAGTAAAACGGTTTTCTTCCCTACCACCCCACGATCCTCGCCTTCCAGGGGTCCTTACCCATCCTTCTCAGAGCCCGAGCCCTGCGGGCCGACAGAAGATTAGGACCTCGGACCTGGAAATCCTGATGACCCGCGCGGGTACCTAGAGACTGCCGAACTAACTCTTGGCTTTAGCCGGAGGTTCTGACCTCGCGCACCTGGGGGCAGCCATATCACTAGCGGCCCCTTCTGGATTGGCTCCGAGGGCAAAGGGGTGGGTCCAGAGGGACGCCCTAAGCTCTAGGAGAGAAAGCCAGAATGCTCCCAGCCTGCTCGGATTGGCTCAGAGAGGAAGAGGAGGGGCTAGAGTGAAGCTCCGCCCAGAGTACTGAGGTCGAATAGCTTCCGCCTGTGCTTGGATTGGTTCTGAGTGGGAAGAAGCGGATCCAGAGAGAAGCGTGGTCCTGAAACGACTTGCATGGACCCAAAAAAAAAAGAGGGGATAGTAAAGAAGGGAGCGAAGAAGGCTAAGAGCAACATCAACCAAATGCAATCTTGGGCCCGTACGGATCTCGTTAGAACAAACCGACTTGTAGAGGAAATTCGAGTATGGACTGGCTATTAGATGCTATTAAAAAATTATGGGCCGGGCGCAGTGGCGCACGCCTGTAATCCTAGCACTCTGGGAGGCCGAGGCGGGTGGATTGCTTGAGCTCACGACTTCGAGACCAGCCTGAGCAAAAAGCGAGTCTCCATCTCTACTAATAATAGAAAAAACTGAGGCTAGCGCCCAAGAGTTGGAGATTGCTGTGAGCTATGATGACGCCACGGCACTCTACCCAGGGTGACAGCTTGAGACTCTGTCTCAAAAAAGAAAAGAATTATGTTTAGGCGCATTTGGGTGTATGCGGTTAAGGGATATAGACGAAAGTAT